ATGATATAATAGTAAGTGAAGGGAAAAAGATGCAAACAATATATTTAGTTTGGTGCCTTTTTAATTCTATAAGGAGGAAAAAGACAAGAAGATATATCCAAAGTGTTTATAGTGGTCATCTATTAGTTTATAAATTATAGATAATTTGTTTTCATTGTGCTTTTCTTCATTTCACAAGTTTTATTCATTGAGCTAAGAAACTTAGAAAACAAAACATAAAAAATCTAGTTTTAGAATAATAAAGCTATTGTTATTATTTGATCTAATAATTCTACCTTTGAGATTTTATCCCAACGAAATTACCTGGTATGCAAGGGTACTTCGGAAAGTTCATGGAGAGATTTGTATTATCTTTTAATTATATTTTTCCATGAACTTTTTGAAGAGCCCTTGTATGTGTCAGGGGTTTGGGGTAGGGGTGGGGGCGGTATAATGTTACAAACAATGTCAGTGGGAGCATCACTAGGGTTAGTGCCAAAAGTGGGGGGTAAGGCATGGCACACTGTCTATTAATAGAGAAATACAGTATAGTTAGTAAAAGGAATATGCAAATGTCTAGATTTATCAAGGAGATAATACTTGGAAAGACAGAACACAAGACTGTATTACTCACTTTATTACTTTACTGAACTAACAACTATATAAATTAACATTGTTTAGAATAATGTTTGGAGTTACAGTGATTTTGAGATTTGAATATAAACTGTGTACTGTGTACACTTTTAATAAATTGGGTTAAATTCATAATAATGAAAGAAAACAGGAATAAAAATGAGGATACCATAGATTCAACCAATGGTGTATTTCATTAATTGATATTATTCAACAGGCAGTAGGAGATGTTCTATAACCATTTCTGTTCAGAGCATAGCTGTACTTGAAGATGTTACCATGATATTATAATACTTTTAAGTCATGTTGGACTTCTGATCTCCATGGCAACAAATACAGTTTAATGGAGTATATGCCTCATCAGATTGTCACCAGCAACGTTCTATATTTACTTTCAAGGTGATTATATTTTATAGCATATAAAAGATGAGATTATTTACCAAAGTTATGGTTTTAACCAGTCATTTCATGTATTACTACCAACTACTTGGAAGTTTTGGCTCTAGAGCTTAAAACCGCTACCAATCTGCTTCTGTTAGACAAAGAAATAAAAGAAAAAACAAATCCAGATCACGAAATTAGTTTTCTTGGAGAGTAGAACATTGTTTCAACATGACATTAAGTACTAAAACAAAAATTATTCATCAAGTCTTTTGAAGCCTTTCTTTTTTTTTTTTTTTTTTCCTTTTTTGTCTTTTTTCGTGTCCGGCAACGGGATCGCAACCCTTCGGTGCTGCTCCCACACCTCGCTCAGCCAGTGAGCGGGAACCAGTCTGTATGTGGGATCCGAACCCTCGGCGGGAGCGCTGCCACGCTCCCAAGTGGCGCACTGTAGCAGTGCGCCACCGGGCCGGCCCTGAAGCCTTTCTTAATACTGATTAAGCAACAAACAGAAAGACTGACAAGAGTAGTCATGATTATTAGGGCCTTTCCTGCAGTTTTCTCTTGAGATTTCCTTTATATTGAATTCAGAAAAGAAGAGATTTAGAGTTAGATTTGTCTACTAAATTAGACTATCATGCCCTGGGGCATTTCTTTCATTATTATGAATTTAACCCAATTCACCAAAAAAGTGAACATAGTTTATACCCAAATTATGGTAATGGTAAATGACATGAGGAGGGACCCACTGTTTATAAATACCAGTAGTGTTATTAAAACATCACTTAAGTCCATTCTCTTTTGTTTGTGAATATCTAGCTAAATCTGAATTCACTTAAATGTAGAGGTAGTGTTAGGATAAAAGTGAGGTGTTAGTAAGGTGTCTTTTCAGCCACAAGACCCAGATCGTGCAATAGGTGACAAGTTGCCTAGCAAAGTAAATTTTAATTATTAACTGGAGCTTGGGCCCAAGCCCTAATACTAGGCCAGACTTTGACAGAGAAACTGTTTATTCCCTACCAAAGCTTAAGCCCAGGTTTGGAACTTGACCAGTCTAGTAAATCTAGAATAAAAGAAACCTGAAATGATAAGCAAGAGAGGGTTTCTCCCCTTTGCCTAGTGCCAAGCTGGCCAATACCACCCATGCCAAGGCTTCTTATATCTGAGTCCAGCTGCTGAATGAGTAAGAAAGTGTTTAAGAAGAGAGCGAGAGAGCAAGATCTTTTCCACTCCCTCCAGAAGAAGGAGAGTTACGTCCATGTATGCATTGTGCTGTTACCAGATATGGATATAATCTTTTAGGATGGAACACTCCAGTGCTAGAAAGGTCAGTCACAGCAAACCAGTTAATTATCTTGTACCTGTGGAGAAGGTAGTAGGATTTGGGATGAGATGGAAGAGGGATGGGTGCTGAAAAGATCTTTAACTTTTAACTGTATGCTACTTTATAGTTTGGATTTCTTATATTCAGAATATTTTCATGTATTCTGTCATTATGGAGAGTAGGTCAAATTTTGCCAAGGAGCACAGAGGAGAGGTCCTTTGGGGCAGAAATAATGGCATAGCAATGACATGGTTGTGAAAGGACAGGGTCTGGTCCAAGAATGCTGAAAATGATATGTATGACAGGAACAGCATGGAGCAGGGAAAGGTAGGGCTGGAGATGGAGGGGACCCATTGCAAGGACTGGATTTTATTCAGTGGTGGGGAGAGACCAATCAGATTTGAAATAATATTTTAATAATAGTAATAAAACATAACTAAAGCATTTAAAGAAATTTTTAAAAAGGTTCATCCATACCTCTGTCACTCTAATGTTTTTGTTCTTCTGTTCCTTATTATAGGAACTTTTTTGGGCCTAGTTTTAATCAAAATCTATATATCGTTTTGTATTCTATTTTTACGTAATCTTCTTATAATAATTTTTCATGTTACTGAGTAAGGTTCTAAGCATGGGAGTGACATAATTAGATTTGTCTTTAGAAAGATAACTCTGTCAGTGGTAGAGAAGATGGATTTGATGGGAAGAGATTCTAAATGGGCTTAGAGAGTAGGGAATGCGTTCAAGAGGTATTTAGTGAATCCTGTTCTAAAGAACCATGAGAAGAGAGTTCTAGCATAAACATGAAAGTTCCTGAGCCCACATTGTGAGTTGAGAGCAAGGCTTTCCCCTTAGCCAGAACAGAAACGCTGCCTGATTCCACTTGGAAAGCCCTCCTCCCCTTCAACGTTTTATACTGTCTGAGAAATCTGGTTTCATTTTTAAGTAGGCTGGGCCCTAAGAGGCTGCAGAGACTAACCCAGTGTTGATTGATTAACATGGTGCTTGAAAGCAATTTTATTCGCCCTAGGCAGCACCTGCATATAGCTCACAAGGAATATTGTTAGAGCTATACTTAACTTTTGGTACTTAGCCTATCACCGCAGTGGTCAGGAGTGTATGTGTAGTGATGATAGAGGTTCTGAAATCTTTTTCTTTAATAAAACATTATTATTTATTATTATTATTATTATAGCAATACACATTAGTTTTAAAAATTGCTACATAAAATTACTTTCAGAATGATAGGAAGGGAGCGCTAGACTGTTCAGAGAGAGGGTAGATTCTGCTGCTGCCGCAATTTTGCTGATTATACTTAGTGCAAGTCATTCAATCTCTGGTGCCTAGTTTCCTTGCCTTTAAAATTGTAGGAATTTTCAACCTCTGAAATGTATATGCTGCCATTTCAGCATATCTTCTTTCTTTGTTTGCTGGGGAAAAAAATAATTTTGATCTTTGGTAGTTGATAGAATAATATTCTACAAATTACATGTTGGCAATAATAGCATGGGGACCATCACTAAATATAGTTAGGGAAGCCTGTGAAATGGTTACTACTATAAAACAGCCCTCATTAAAGTCTTTAATTTGATTTTAAGGTTGCTTTGATCAATATTTGAAGAGGCTTTCTAATCTAGTTTTACCGTAATTTAACAGAGTGGTAGAATTAAAGTCGGATCAAGTCGATAGCAGGATAGCAGGGTGAGTAAGGTTTGGGGAGAAAACCAGTTGCTTATTTCCTCCCCTGTCTCGACCTCTGTCTCTCCCCCCCCCCCCCCCCCCCCCCC